TTGTAGAATTCGTGCCCGTCTTCGACGGTGGACTCGGCGCCATAGGAGTGGACGATTTCGGAGCAGTTGCGAAAATACTCGAGAATTCTATTTTCTTTGACGAGGGTAGATGATTTTTCTAGTCTTGCTGTTTTCAGAGCAATTGGATCGTTTGTGTGTCTGTGACGAGCTAAGTAAACTGTAGCATAAGATCCTTTTCCAAGAAGTCCGACAACTTTATGTTTCTGAGATGCTGAAGAAGGCGATTCCATGGTATAACTCTTCACTGCTAACCCTAATTAACAATATCTCTCAACAAGTGCCTTTCTGGACGTGTACTCATATGGATGAGAAAACGATATATATGTATGTATATATATATATGTGTGTGTGTGTGTGTGTGTAATATGAAATCATTTTGAACTCTAATTGTATTGGGTTTGAATACTGTTTCCTCATAGGTTTTGTACTTTGAACTAAAATGTGTTCTCCCGATATATATATATATTCATTTTGTAGTTAAATGCGTTTAGGAGTCATATTTCTAGTACAACTATAAAAACAATTATACATAGCAATGAAATAACATAGCAACTATTAAAATATAGCAACTATTAAAATATATATATATATATATATGATATTCGTTATTTAGAAAAAAAGTCCTCAATTAAAAATAACACGTAAAATAAAATGCCACCCATATATAATATACGTGGGATTAACTTCAAATAATAATAATATACGTGGGACTGAGGCGCATACTTCCTTGCTACATTGGGATTAGTTGACTTTAGTCAAAACTCATTGAAATTGTGATAAACTTATTTAAAAGATCATAATATCCAAGCAGATAATTATATTCACAGAAATAAAGTTAGGATACAAATACCTGAATCTTAAATAGGATCATCAGAAAATTCTATCCCTAAATTTTGCCACTCTCAAATTCTCTTTTAATCACTGTTGACCTATTTATTGAAAGAAATATTAGAAACACCCGCACTCTATCTAGTATGATTTAATGATTTTAGATTTTTTTCTCAATTTTGCTTACACTAGTTTTTAAAATAGATAAATTTTATAAATTTCTCCTAAACTTTTTAACACGGTTGTCATCATCACATTCACTCTAACTTTTCATTGATACTGTTCAGAAAAAAAAACTTTTTATTAATATTTAGATCATCTCCGGTATAAATGCTAATACCAATTATATATAACACTAAAAAGTATGATAGCACATGTTATTTTTATGAGTGTTCCAATGCATAATGTTAGTTAAAATGATAAAATCTACTTTTTTTTTTATAATTATTAAGTTTTGAAAGTTGTAAAAGTAAATTTTTAATTTTAAAATAATTTGAAAAAGTAAAAGTTGTAATGATTAAATGAAAAAGTAACCATATTAACCATAGGAATCAAGTGTCAAACCATATGCTCTACTTAATGAAAAATTTACCACATAATATAATATATGGTAAATTTTGGCACACAATAAATAACATTGTACTGGAAAGTATTTTTTACACTTAAATGTTAAATCAATAATTAGCGCATTAATTATAGCATTACATTGAAGATGTCTATTCTTCTGAATTTGACAATGTCTCACAATTCTCCCTCATGTTGCAATCACCCGACCATGGTGCTTGTCCTGTATGCTTCGCTCCATCCTGAATCCCCCCACCACAATGTCGATCCTAGACCATGAACTTGGTGTTGGTCTAGACTTGAAACGAGTGCCGATTCTAGACCCCGCATTCTAACCCAATTCTGTTTCGAACCTCGACCATTGGTGCTTATTACGGACCTCAATCTAAGCCCCAATTCTTGGCCTTGACATCATACACCCGTATAGTCTAAGACCTTAAACATGTCTTGCTGTCGAACCTTGACCTTGACTTCGATCTGTCACTTTCGGACCCCAAACCTCATGCTGGCCCTAGACCCTGACCTCAGTTCAAATCTTAGACTTCGACCCTAGAACCTGGTCCCAATCCAAAACCCCAACCCCTTACTTCCTTGTCAGTCTTGGACCCCAGTCCAAATCTCAAATCGGACTTAATAGTGGGGTTGTAGTCAAGAGATGTTACGGTTAATGCTTAAATTTTACCCTTTTTTTTTCCTAAAAAAAAAATAGATGCTATGATGAGATGACACTTAATTATTTAGAGTGGCATAAATAAAAGGTTTCTAAAAAAAATGGTAAACCATGTACTTTTCTCTATTTTTTTTTTCAAATCTTTTAGGGCCTAATGAAGATATAAATTATTAATTAATCAAATACAAAATAATAATAATAATAATAAATATCATATAAAAATCATCAAATTAAGGAGTTTTTTTTTCTTCTTGGCATTAAATTTAAAAAATGTTTACATCAATTTTATGTCTATTCATGTACTTACTAACGTTCTATGTACAATTTAATTGCATTAATTTTTGGGCTTTTATGTACATGTACATAACATTTCTTATATACATGATAACTTTTGAAATTCTATATGTAAATATATCAATTTTGATTAGATCCACTACCTTTTTTTTTTTACTTACAACTCATATATGAATCATAGTTAAAACAATAACATGTAATAAAATGGCACAAGTTATTAAAATATAAATCTCCTTTTAAATTAATAAAATATTAATTTATCGATAAATTAATAACCTTGCTATGTAATATTTTTCCGCACTCCCAACAATATTATTTTATAGAGGTTTTATTGTAATACATTATCATAAAACGACTCAAAACCAAATACCATGTTATAGAACAATACAATAAGATAAGATACGTTACGATACCATACCATACAATTCAACACATCAATCATGCCTGAGTATTTATCTTCCTATTTTCACAATGAGTTTTAATAAAGGTGTAAGTTCAGGTGCCCAGATCGCCCCAAGCCCAACAGTCCGAAGAGAAAATTTAGGTTGGGCTAATCCGGCTTAAAAGAGAGAGGGTCAACCCAACTTGACCCTAAAAGCCGAAAAGTTTAGGGTCAATTTGGCCTTGCCGAAAAATGTACAAGGTATTTTTAAAAAAAAAAAATTTAAATAGGATGTTTGTGTCCACCCAGCCCGACCCGAATTAGCTTTCGGGCCCGAAATCCCAGCCCGAGCCGGAATGGAAATTTCAAACCAGATCGGGTCAAGTGTGGTGGGTATTGGGCCAGTCTCTTTAACCCGGCCCAAACTTGTAGCTCTAGTAAACCAAAATCAAGTACTCCAAACGCGCCTTAATTGTGAATTAGTCTATTTCACTAAAAATAGTTTTGCTCTGATATCCTATATGGGTGGTTTTTTAATTTTAGTTCTTGTTATTTACTATTTATACTTGTGAATTAGTCTTTAATGAACGTAACAAATAGTGGTGAAGGGTTTGTTACCGTTCCTAACACAAGACTTGGAACATAACAGAAACCAAAAACAAGAAATTCAGAGGAATCAACACAAGATTTTACCCATGTTCGGTCAAGAAGTTTACACACGCAAGATCAACACAATCCTCAAATCTCTCAGAAAACAGATTTCCTCAAGTTGGAATCGTCAAATAATTTTGCGGTATTTGTTAAATAATTTGGTCAATATTATCTTGTGGATGCTGAGTATGCAAATTGCAATGGATTTCTTTCTCCATTCTCTGGACAAAGTTACCATCTTCAGGACAACAATCAAATTCTGCAAAAGAACTTCTAAATTTAAGGCACTCGGCTGCTAAAAATGTCATTGATCAGCGATGTTTTGGTGTGCTTAAAAATCGACGGGCAATTCTTAGGAGCCTTGCATTTTATTCAATTACGATACAAAATAGAACTATTTTGGCATGCTGCTTATTACAAAATTTTCTTAGGAGGGAAATGCCAAATGATCCATTTGCTCAAATTCAACCAGATGACAATCAACAACAAGGGGATCAACATCTAGAATTAGTTGGTGACACAAAATACTATTGAGACCTCAGATGATCAATGGAGTGAATGGAGAAACAATCTGTTACAATGACGCGATGCCGCTAGAAGAAAATCTCATCTCTAGAGTAGTTATTATTGTATTCCTTATTTTTCTCTGTTTAATATTTGAATTAGTCATAGATGTTTAATCATTGAATTAGTTGTAGACGTGTGAACGTGTCTGTTTTCAGCTATTGTTTCCTACCTTATGCATGTAAACGTTAAGCAAGTCATTATATAAGACTTGGCTTATTCTAAATAAAAGACATCGAACGATTATTTGACTCTTTCAGTTATTGGGAGGCATTGGACGTTCCTCATATAATTAGCCAATAAACTTTCACTTTTTCTTTGCTTAGTTGTTGTACGTATCATTTTGGTATCAGAGCGCCGGATATGCAAGATCGAATGGCGAAACTTGAAGAGACAATGGCAGCTCTTGCCACAAGTCAGAAGGAGATGTTGGGTCACATCACTGAGAGAATGGAGCAGCTCAGTCAACAGGTTTCCGCCAAAAGTAAGGATGAAGGCGAGCATTCTGCTAACAAGGGTGGCAGCCGAACTAGCGTCAACTCCGGCATCAATCAATTGGGTTCTCTCCACAATTATGTCCCCAAGACATTAAAGATTGATTTTCCCCGTTACGATGGCCGCGACGATCCTACGACGTGGGTGTGTAGGGCAGAAAAGTATTTTTCACTCCATGAAATTGTTGAATCTGATAAGGTCACTTTGGCCTCATTCTATCTGGAGAGTGATGCCCAACTTTGGTTCCAAATATTAGAAGAACTTGTTTATGTTACCTGGGAAGATCTCAAGCGAGGAGTCTTCTCTCGTTTTAGCCCCAACAATTTGAAGATCCGTTTAGTGAGCTCATTTAACTTCGACAAACTGGTTCGGTGATTGATTATCAAGGAAATTTTGAGAAGTTATTAGCTAATATTGGTTCTCTCTCCCAAGAGAGGAAGTCAAGCTTTTTCGTCACCGGTCTGAAGGAAAGTAATCATACGGACGTAAAAGCTAACTAACCGGCTACGCTTACGATGGCAATTGGCTTGGCAAAATTATATGAAGCTAGTGATTTTGCACAGAAGAAGCCAACTAATCAAGCAAACCGGCCAATCTAAGTGAGGACCCAAAATTGTTGAATGACCATTCCTTTTAAATGGTCATTCCTTTTATAAAATCCAACCAAATTACATCATACTTGTATTCTTTTTCTTTCCTTTCCTTTTCTTTCCCCCCAACCAAACGCACCCTAAGTCTCCCTCCCTCTCAAAGATTGTACACCAATTCTTAATTTGAGACTTCTCTTACCTGCTAAAGTTTTTTTTTTTTTTCAGCTTCTAAAGTTAAATTATTTGCCAGGTTTTCCTAACCATACTTTTTCTTTCATCGCATTTTTCAATTTTAAGGATATCCTCCATCACTTTTCCAAGGAGAAGCCTGAGTATTTCAAATGTTTGCCATGGTCTATCTGAATGCAAAACAAACATTTTGCTTCAGATTCCAAAACATTTACCATCATGGACTTCATACCTGATCGAAGCTTGTGACTATTGACAAGTTCATGGCAATTTGTGAGGGACAAACTAAGCTTGCGAAATTGAGTTGAAATATTCAATCAGGATCGCTGAAAGAGTTATTCATGAAGTGTCAAAAATGGATAACTCGTTACTAGCTCGTTATCTTTCCACCTTCATTCTCTTGCAATTATTGTTATGTTCATCAGACCAACGATGGCTTGGTGCAACCTCTTCCTCATCAGCGCGCAATCTCTTAGCTCTAATCCGTGCTTCGTGTTTAGCCACGTCGTCATCATCACCAAGTACAGTAGTGTAACCATTGGCTCTTGAAATGTACTTGATCGAATCATCACATTTGTCCCACAGAAAATGGACCCCTGTCTTCTTCACAGTAGCTCGCACCCCAAAATCAAAAGAAATATTAACCATATCTCCACCTTCTAACTTAAACGTATCATTTGAGAAATATCCCAGCCAAATGTTATCTTCCTCAGAGATTACTATATCAGTTGTAATTGTCATTCTTGTAGGTTCTCCCCCTTTTGTATTGGTGATGACTGAAATGGTTGGAAGATCGAGAGATATCATGCCGCTGGTCGGAAAAGATGAATACACAGTACACACAACAAGTGCTACCACATTACAACCCACCAATTGCGGAACTTCAATGCATACAATACTACCCTCTTTAGAGTGGGTGAACCATTCAGGAATAATATTCCCTGGGAGAACACAAAATCCTCCAGATTCCTTGCATTCCTGTACAAATGTGAAGCATGGTGTGTAAGCAACAACAAACAAAGATATATGTTTTACACAGTGGCTTGGTTTATTTCACCGATTCGAGTTTTCAATTCCAGTTTTGCTACGGTTAAAAGCTCTCATAAAAAGTCACATCTAACATTTTCTTCTACAGTTAAAAGTTCTTACATAAAATCACATCTCAGCTTGAATTGAAAACTCTAATCGGCGAACTGAACGAGGCCAGTGAGTGTGTAGTTGGCGAGGTGGGGAAAAGATGGGCAAGGAGATAACCTGTAAGATGCTGTCACTAAAAGAAGTAGAAATACTGTTGCACCTTTCCCTTTGAAGGGTTATTGCCAACTTCAATAGATTGTCCATGTCTAGGCTAGCAACAAGTTTATGGCAATTTGCAAGGGACAAGATCTGCATATTCGACATTTTTGACATGTTGGGCAGGTTTTCCAATGAAGTGCAGTTTGTTGCATAGAAGGCCTCCAAACTTGCTGGTAAATTTGGAATTGATTGAAGCATTGTGCAATTATCTAACCGAAGGTCTTTGAGATTGGAAAGGCGGCCGAAGCTTGATGGTAATCTACTAAACTTATTATTTTGTAGTTTTAAAATCACCAGAGAAGGTAAGCTTGTCCCAATGTCCTTAGGAATCGCATCATCGGCTAAATGGCAATCCGTGAGAGATAATGTTGTTAGGGAAGACAAGCCTTGTAAGGAAGGAGGCAAAAAACTCGTTGGATTTGAATTCTTTCTTCCCATTAACCAAGACCAGATGAGTGAATAAAACGGCTTAGAAGGTGATGCTTTCAAGCCACATAAAGACAAATGTCTGAGGTTCATCAGTCGTACTATGGTGAAGGGTACATTTCTTATGGCGGTGTTGTCTGCATCTAGAGTTGCCAATGACAGCATTTCCCCTAAATCTTCATCCAAATTCTCAAACTGCGAGCACCCAGAAAGAATAAGAGTTTCAAGTGATCTTAACTTGTAGAAATCTTTCGGAAGGCTTTTAAGAATTTTGCAGTCTTTCAAATTTACCAAAACAAGTTTGTCAAGGTATCCTATTGAATGGTGAACCTCATATAAACTTCGACAATCTTTGAGTATTAATTGGCTAAGGTTGGGGAGTTTTGAAAAGTCTGGGGTCCGTGTTAGGTAGTGGGAATGGCTAAGATTAAGGATCTTCATCTTCTCGAGCAACTGCAGACGACAATTAAAAACAAAAAAGTAAGAAAGATTATAAGAAAATTTTAAAAAAAAGACAGATTATAAAGTGGTTAGCTCGAGCAATATATACATGCTGGCATAAGTCCAACATTCATACACATGCATGCGCGCAGGTGTTGGTATCAGAAAGCTTAGACAAACATGAAAAATTAAGGAGTAAAGATCAATTATAAAACTAATTAAGAGTGTTATTTCATCATACCTTAGGATTCTTCCAAACATTTTTCAGGTTGCTATATTTCATGTTTAGAGCAACAAGATTTCCTAGATAAAACTCATTTGGTATGAACTTCATAGGGAACCCATGCCAACAAAGCCATCTTAGCTCTTTAGAAAGGTACTCGTAGCTTCCATTGAGTTTTACATAATAGAGCTGGAGCAATCTCAGTCCCTGCATAATTGCAAATGCTTGTGTATTGAAACCAACTATATTATGTCTTTCCCGTTTTAGACTGAGTCCTTCAATTTTTTGAGTTCCCTGTCAACACACATGAAGCTTTAGATAAGAAACTACTAGTTGCAGTGGAGATCGATGATTTATAGTCTTTAGGTGTATATCAGTATATCCCAGGTGAAAAGTTATTATGAGACAATGAGAATGATCAAGATAGCTAATCAAATAAACAAAGCAAATGAAAGACGAAAATCATACATGCTTCTCTTTCATCGCCTGAGTGGTGTATAGGACAAAACAAGTTGTGAATGTGTTTTTTTTTCATTGCGGGTAATCACTAATCAATAATGACTGAAAAAGTTCTTACTGTCTCTTTTGTCAGCACATCAATTACATCTTCTTGATGCCACAGCCTACTCCTTTTTCCAAGCTCTTTGGGAGATTCTTTTCGAACAATATCTCTTCCCATATCCCGAAGCAAACCATGCATCGTAAGCTTGTTCTCCTCATTTATAGTCACAAGGCATCGTTGAAGTAGGACGCTGATTCCGATTTCCGCAAAAAAACCACATCCATCCAAGATTTGCAGAACATAGTTCCTATCCATACCAACAAAGAAACAAGATATATCAAGGAACATCTCTTGTATTGTCTCATCAGTTAAAGCCTCATAACTTATTTTTAGTTTCTCTTGAATTTTGTTATGAGGAATCCTTTCTAATTTCTTTATCGCATTTTCCCACTCTGGTATGCTCCTGCCAAAGAGGAAGGAACCTAAGACCTCCAGAGCTAGTGGTAGTCCTCCACAGTAAGCAGCTACATTCCCGGAAAGTTGAACATAGTCTTTGTCGGGGAAACTTCTTCGAAAAGCATGCCAACTAAAAAGCTCAAGAGATTCAGCATCATTCATTTTTTTGGGATATATGAGGTATCCACTCCAAGCAGCAGCAGCAACCGCATATTCCTCGTTGTTATAATGATTCTACTTCCAAAACCAAACCAATCACGGCTTCCAGCAACAGCCTTTAGTTGGTCAGCATCATCTATGTTGTCAACAACAAGAAGTATCCTCATACGGCAAAGTCTATCTTTTATCTCCATGATTCCTCTATCAGGATTATTTAACTTCACTTTGCGCTTTAAGATATCAGATAAAAGTTGTTCCTGCAGTGAAACCTCACAATTGGGTCTGTTCCAAGTCTCTCGGACATTTCCAAGAAAACATCTACCTTCAAAGCTATCATACAATCGGTTATAAATGGCTTTGGCAATAGTTGTCTTACCCATTCCTCCCATTCCCAAAATTCCCACCATACGTACCTCATCTTCTTCGCTAATATTCAATAATGACGTCATAACCCGCACACGAGAATCTATTCCAACAGGGTAGAGCGCTTCAAATAAGTATGTGTTCTTCAGTTGCCTCAAAATCTCTTCAGTGATCTTCTTAATGAACTTTGCCTCATGCCTGAAAAGTATTTGCAAATTGAAGGGATGTGAAGAATCATTGCAAATAAGTCTAGAAAACAAATGATTTGATACGTAACATAAGGCCGTCCCCAACACAATGTCTAATTAATGTGTCACCATTTGAGTTGAGAATGTTAGAGTATAAAATTAGGGCTTCTTCTTTTGAGTGAAAAATATTTAGAACTTGTTTTTTTGAGTGAAAAACTCAAAAAAATACAACTCGAGTTACAAAGTTATTTGAGTTCATGTTCTTTTAAGTTAAAACTCGAGTTTAAACTCGAGTTCAAGTTTTCCCTTCAACTCGAGTTCAGAAACTCGAACTCAAATTAATGAACAATATTTTTTCTATTCTTAAAAATGCTATAACTTTTTCGTTTTAATTCTGATTGAGATGATTTTTTTTCTATGCATTGACAACGAAAAGAAAAATAAAACCCGATCCATATACCATATTAAAATTTTTCATCAGCATTGAGTTTTTATTAAAATATTATCTAAATACAAATTCAAGTTTTAATTCACTCAAACACAAACTCAAAATACAAGTTAAACTCAAATTATAACTCAAATTCAACTCAAGAATTATACTCAAATTAAACTTCAAAAGAACAAACCCTTAATATCTCTGTTTTTTTTTAAGAACAAGCCTTTAATATATAGACAGATATGCGTATATCTCTCTATATTTTTTTTTTTGTCAGAGCATCAACTAAATCCAGAAATAAATAATAAATAATAAATAAATAAAAAGACATCCAGAAAGTAATTTAGTAATTACCCATCAGCAGTGTTTCTAAGATCCCACCCAGAGAGATTTGCAGCCTCAGTAAGAGCTGACCTCCATCGAAGCACCTTTTCACTATCGGAAAGGAACCACTTTTCATGTTTCTCAAAAGATTTAGAGAAAATCCCCGTCTGCTTCCTGACGTCCGACGGATCGACATCGTAGAAAACGGGGATCATCATCTGCCGAACGGTTCGCCTGCATTCCATGATCTTCACTAGCTCCTCCAGACACCAACTGGAATCCGCGTAGTTCCTGGAGAAAACGACGACGGAGATTCTGGACCCTTGAATCGCCCGCACGAGCTCTTCCGGGATGTTCTCACCTTTGGGAAGCTCGCGGTCGTCAATGAAGGCGTTGACCCCGGCGTCGGTCAACGCGGAGTAGAGGTGGCCGGTGAAGGTCTTGCGAGTGTCTTCGCCTCTGAAACTCAAGAAGACGTCGTAAGTCCGCGCATTGGATGATGATGATGATGATGGTGATGATGGTGGTGATGATGATGATGATGGTGATGATGGTGATGGTGATGATGGTGATGATGATGATGATGATGATGAGTCCATGGTGTTTGAAGAGGTGGGTGGTTGGGTTGAATCGGGCAACAGAGACGATGAATGTGCAGTCTAAAGGACGAGTAAAAGTGTTGTGGTCGGGAAATGGGTGGCATTTTTCTCAGACGTTTCTGGTGGGACCGAGCGAGACCTAAGTCGCAATTAATTTTTGTTTTGAGTTATTCAAATTATTCTCTGGGATGAAATAGGGCGGGAAGAGGACACTTTCTCTTCTTATTTTATGCTCATCTCTATCTGTCTAATTAAAAATAAGGTTCTTTATTAAGAGAACAATTCTTAAAATTCGTTTAGTTTACTGATTCGAGTTAAGATATAACTTTATATGAGTAATTTTTAACTATAATAAAAATATTAAATGCAACTATTTTTTAAAACTTTTTACTATAATAAAACTCAAAATAGTAAAATAAACGGGACCTTATACTCTATCCATTAAAAAATAAGAGTTAAAAATAAATTCTTATAATATTATTAAACTCAAAAACTTTTATTAAATTAATTATAAAATGCAGATACCGGCGTACTATGATTTGTGAGGTGTTCAATGCTTACATTGAAAATGTTTATTTATAATTGAAAAATATTATGATTGAAGGATAGTTTCCTTATTCTTTTTAGTAGTTTCATGTTCCTTTATAACTACGAGTTATTATATATCTTATTTAGATCTTTTTTACAAATACAATATACACATATAGAATTTATAAAATAAAAGTACATATAATAAGGTTGGGATCGGAGTCTGGAGAGCTTTCCCCGTCCCCAACTTGGGGGTTAATTTTAAACCTTCATATTCGTCTCCATTCCTACAAAGAATCCTCTATACCGGCCCTATTAGGGGCGGGTGCCCGCGATACGGGTATCAACAGGCACGTAAGATTGTCATCCCTAATTATTCTTATCATTGATCTTCTTTATTTTGAGAAGAAAACAAGTAGGGTTAATTCCACAAATGATCTACGAGGTTTATCACCAATTCCATTTTAGTCCATGACTTTTTAAACATTCTACATATTTTTTTTTTCTAGTGCAAACATTCCATAGTTAATCCCTGAGGTTTTATTTTATTTTAATTTCGATACTTCCATTAATTAGGCCTTAAAATATTAAGGATCAAAATTGTAAGTAGCTAAGATTTTAGTACTATATGTAAAAATTAACTTTTTTTTTGTATTGTTTTTGTCGCTACACTTTATATGTTTCTAATTTTAGTTTCTAACTTTCACAATTTCCATTAATATTTAACACTAAAACCTTAAAGACTATTTGTGAGATTAACTCAAGTAAATAAGAAGAAACTACACTCAATATCTATAAGAAAAAAAAATATCGGTGAAATTGAAACTTGTGTGAAATGGATCAAACATTGATCATCATGGCAGCTGGGAACACCATGATAAGTAGAATGTTGAATTAAAATAATATATTATAATACATGGTCGTAAATAATTTCAACTAAAAACCACCGGTGGCGTAATGCAAGGGTTATGATGCCCTTTTTTTTTGTTTCTTCTTCTCTCCCCTTAAGGTTAAACACTATGGGTTCTGTCCCGCTCGTTCTGCACGTTTAGGTTGAGAAGTCGAGTTAAAAAGAGAATCTATGTGAGAAAATTACTACAGCAAAACAAATGAATTTAAATTTTTGTGAAAGAAAACACTGTAACAAAAATTTGAGTCGTGAAAACGGACTTAAAACTCCTCTTTTTAAGTTTTTACAATCATATAATTTGGAATTAAAAGATTATTTTTTTGAGAAAACAAGTAGAAGCTTTTACAATATCAAAATAAATAAATAAACTGAAGAAGATTTTTTTTTAATTTCAAGATGATAACAAAGTACTTTTTGTTAGAGAGATTGTAATATGTTTTGATCAAGATCACAAGTTTTTTGAGTGTGAAAACATGAAAAACTCGTGTTAAATGGACTTCAAAAGCGCTGTAACGGGTTTATAAACACTGCAGCAGACAAACTGCACACAACTTTGCAGTTTGTTTCGCCCAAACCGGCTGTAGCTAAAATATTTCGGTTGCAGCCGAAATATTTCAACTGCAATCGAAATATTTCCCCTGCAGTAGAAAACTTCGCACTATAACGCCCTTGTGCAGGCCTCTCGAGTCCGTTTGCGGGCTGAAGCGGTAAAACACCGGCTGCATCAAAAATTCCGCAGAAAAATAGTGTTTTCATGAGTTTATGTGATATGAAATGTTTCGAACCATTACATCTATTAGTGATATGTTTTCATACATATCTGAACACCAATTAGCAATAGATATAACTATTGTAATAGGTGTATTAATCCATGAAAAGATACCTTTATATTGAAAATGTACCTTTATATGAATGGTTGTAATGTTTAAAGATGATGCATTCATTCATGAAATGGCACATCTGTCTTTATTAATTCTCTAGAAAATTTACAGATTGAATTGAATGTTCTGGACCTCAATATTATTGATAGATGTTGTGTTCAAGGGTTTGTTGTATCTTGGGGCTAATTTACCATTAAAACTCATTAGCACACTTTGAGAAGTGAGGGCAAATAAAACCTTAAAGGAAAGTATTCATATACTCCTCAAACCGCCTCTTTTGTTTTTTGCATTCTTTTCACCCTCTACACTCAAATTTTTTAACTATCTTTGAGGTCTTAACTTGCTGCAATGGAGGTTGAAAAGAACATGGCATCTTTGCTCAATCCGAATGTCCAACTTGATTGATTTCATGGTACCAATTTCACCCTCTGGAAGGGAAAGTTGTTTTTCCTTCTCACAGTGCTCAAGATCGCCTAGGTGCTTGATCCGAAATTGGAGCCACTTCCGGAACTAAAGGAGGATGATTCCGATGAATTGAAGGCTGCAAGGAAGAAGCGTGAAGATGATGAAGTCATGTGTTGGGGTCATATTCTCAACACTCTCTCCGATATGCTTTACGATCTCTACAACTTGATGGAGTCTCCGGTGGAGATTTGGAACGCTCTTGAATACAAATACAAAACTGAGAACGAATGTACGAACAAATTTCTCATCTTGAAATATATTGAATTTGTCATGGTTGATACTAAGTCCATTCTAGATCAAATACATGAATTGCAAGTCATTGTTACTAAGTTTCGTGAATTGAAAGTTAAAATTTCTGAATCATTCCAAGTGGGGGCAATTATTGCTAAATTGCCTCAAAGTTGGAATGGTTATAGAAAGAAACTCCTTCATAGGAGATATGACATAACTTTAGAGGAATTACAAAAATACTTGAGGATTGAAGAAGAGACTAAGTTTCGTGATCCCAAAGGTAAGATTATAGATTCCTCTAAGGTTAATGTTACCGAAACTAGTAAGTTTTCCAAGAACTTCAAAGTCAATAATGACAAGAAGTTCAAAAAGCCCAGTAATGGCCAAAATAAATTTTCTGAAAATTGTTTCTTTTGTGGAAAGATAGGCCATCGCCAAAATGAATGTAGATACAAGAAGAAAAATGAAGAAGTTAATGTTGGTCTCCGGATCGAATCCGGAAGCGGAAGCGCGGTGGTGCGGGGAAGAGGCGGATCGTGTATAACAAAAATTTTCATAAAACTTTTGAGATACTCTATAGATTATATTAATTTATGCACGAATAAATTAATCTCATTAACTTATATATATCAAGAACTCAATCAGGAAAAATACCTGGAAGCCGACTCGGATGATAACTTGAGTTCTTTGACCACGAACAGTCCTTGCTCCAATCTTTGTGTTTAGAAAACCAATGTCTTCCACATCAATTCCTAGAATCCACGAAGACGTGTGTGTGGGCACACATGAGACAAAACGGGTTACAATAAACACTCGAATTTCCACAAACACCA